AATCTGAAACATCAATGACATTGGGTTACATAAATTATGATATAAGGGCCGGCCCGGTGGCGCACTGCGCTAGTGCGCCGCTTGAGAAGCGTGGCGACGCTCCCGCCGAGGGTTCGGATCCCACATACAGACCGGTTCCCGCTCACTGGCTGAGCGAGGCGCGGGGGCAACACCGAGGGTTGCGATCCCGTCACCGGTCCCGGTCCAGTACGGGGGCGACACTGAGGGTTGCGATCCGTTGCTGGACACGGAAAAAGACAAAAAAAAAAAAAACAATGATGTTGGTTCATATTTATTACTAATGGAAATATGTTTAAAATGTATTATGTGTGAAATGTTGTAGAATAGTACGTATACATTGATTATTTCTAAAATATACACAGAAAAAATTAAAAATATATATGCCAAAATGTTAATAGTGATTACACCAGGTTATGAGATTAACGGGGATGTTTACTTCTTTATACAGTTTTAAAGTTTCTGATTTATTTATTTTTTTGGATAACAGGCCTGTTTCTATATTACTGTTATAAAAACTGAACACACACACGTGCACACACACACGTGCACACACACACACATATGATAAAGCTACTTTCATTTTTGAAGGAAAAAAAGTAAAGACGTGCTAGAGAATATTCCAGGCAAATGCGCTAAATGTCTGTAGCATAGCAGAGACTAGCAAAGTAATTGTCATGCGCGAAAAAACAACTATGTGTTCTTCATATCTATCTCTTCTGTGTTAGAGTCTCAATGTGCTAAAGATGTTCTTGTTTGCCATTATCAAATTGATTTGGGAATAAACAAAATCCCAGTAAATCTGAGTTTCCAGGTGAAGTGAAATATTTTGTAGAAAAGAGACAGCACACTGCCTGGCACAGAATGGCTGATTAACCATTGAGAATGCCTTTCCCACCTCCCCTTCTCCATCAAATTACCAATTTAAAAAGTGTCTGCAATATAATCTTTCCAAAATATTTTACACAATCAAATACGGTTATTAGTCAAGATTTAAATATAGTATTTCCTATGTATTCTTGAACAACATGAGGAATGTTGTTTCAATAGATCACAAGAAAGCTTCTGTCATAATCAAGTATATCATAAAGAAGATACACTTTACCCACTTGTCTTATGAGCTGCATCAAATTCTATCCCGTGGATATTCAATAATAGCCTTAATAATTCTCTTATTGCTGGATATTCATTTTGGAAAAGATCATCTCAAAGATCCTTCCTAACTATGTCCATTTGATTCAAGACAATGTCTTTACTAATAAACCTAATTGAAAAGCTGATGAAACTAAGAAGTATCCCTTCACCCCCAAAACACAGTTGCACACATACCTCACAATCTTTTGTAAAAAATTTTAAGAGGTTCACAAATACTTCGAAGTCTATCATTAGAATCCACGAATCAGAGTTTAAGAATTCCTACTTTAGACCATTGAACATCTGGTTCATCTTCTTAATTTTAACCTTTCATTATAAATAACTATACTTTTGTTATTCATAATCCACAGATGAGAATCAAGAATAACCTAGACATAGTTTAACACCAATACTTTTTATCTAACTTCAAATTGGGACTTGCTCTTGATACTGAATCCTACTCACAAATTGCAATGTCTCGCTCCCACTAACCCAAACTTCTGTGCTCAAGATCCAATTACGCATCCTTCTCTAAAAACCCAGCAAAGCAGAGGACCTTTCCACCTACTCAGACTGAGGCCAAACAATACGAGCTCTGTATTGGTTTGCTTCATAGACTGGGTCTGTGGAAGTCAAAGAAAATTGGGGCTACCTGATGCTTTATAAACACTAATCTCTTCTTAAGGTATTAATTCTCTATAATGAATGCTCCTATATTTCATTCTACCTCATTAACTTCTATGTCATTCAAATTCTCATGAAAATGCTGTAAAATAAGGTGTGGAGTAATTTGCTGAATATATGTGGTGAACTTCTGGTGAAGGGAAGAGGCCAAGAAGGGAGGCTATCATTTCCTTGGTCCTCGTCATGCACTGGGTATAGAAAGAACAGGGGACCAGACTCTTAGACAGGTCACGATATTCCACAGACTTCAAACATATACGAAATG